TTCAAAGAAGTTGGTGATAGACCATAGCTCCAGTTCAACACCCAGAGCAGAAACTGAAGGACGAAATTTCAAAGGACATCTCCAAGTCCGTCAGCCATCAGGAGAAAATGGGAGACATTGAGCAACTTCCTTAAAGAAACCTACGTGGAAGAAGACTGCAACTCTTTGAAAGAGATGTGGAAAGAAACCCGCATAACCATGTTAGGAAGGGAGAGGGAAGAAGACAAGGAATGGATTTCAACGGACACACGAAAGCTGCTGGAGGAGAGGAAGATGGTGAGTCAATAGATTACCAGTGCAGTGGAGTGTGGGGATGAACAACGAAAGGAGGAACTGAAAACAACGTATGGAACACTGGACAGGGGAGTGAAGAGGAGTGCGCGTAAAGACAAAAGACACTCCTATGACACACCTGCAAGTGAAACAGAACAGGCTGCAGGAAAGAGACCTGACAGAGCTATTTCAAGTAGCCAGATTACTGTCTGGGAGGGAAGGGATCGACACAGATGAAACCAATGAAAGACGGTGAAGGAAGAGTAGTTAGCACCAAAGAGGAGAAACAGGGGAGACGGTGAAATGACTGCTTCAATAAACCCTTGAATCGACCACCACCATATGCAACTCGTCTAGGAATATCATCGGCAGCCTAGTCAGAGAGCCATCACTGCGCACAAGCCCTCCAACAAAGGCGAGAGTCCTGAATGTCATAAAGTTGCAGAAATCCGGGAAAGCAGCAGGACCAGATGGAATTCCACCAGAAGCGCTGAAAACAGATGCAGAGACAAGAGCGGACATGCTCACACCACCATTGCAGAAGGTTCGGAAGGAGGGAAACGTACCTGCCGAGTTGAAGGAGGATCACCTTGTCAAGCTCCCAAAGCAGGGAAACCCAAGCCTCCGCAGGAACCGGTGGGGGCTCGTGCTGTTGCCCACCCCAAGAAAAATATTAAGCCGCATCATCCTGGACAGACTAAACAACAAATGCTCTGCATTCAAAATTACGACCGGAACAGGCTGGCTGGCTAGCTGGCTTCAGGAAGAACAAATCATATGCCGACAAATTACAACGCTACTCTACTCATCATCATAGAACAGAGCGTAGAATGGCAGTCGACTCAACTCAACCTCAACTTCATCGACTTTGAAAAGGCCCTCGACAGCTCGACCGAGAAGTAATTTGGCAACGGCTTCAACACTATGGAGTGCGACAAACCTTTATCAATCTCATTCAACAGCTGTATCCACATGATGACGCTACATAATAATATATATATTTCATGCAACATAGGTTACATGGATACAAACCAGTTTACGGGTTTGATCGTTTTGGTAATGAGAAATGACTATTATGTACAATGTTAAGCTATACATTAGATACCGTTATTCATATGAAGTGATTCACTATGGAAGGCTCAGCGTCACCTTTGAAATGGAGACAGGAGTAAGACAAGGCTACCGCCTACCGTCACCGGTCATCTTCCTGATTGTGGTCGAATGGACTGGACTGGATCATGCAATAACAGCTGTGAGGGGCTGTGAGAACATGGGGATACGCTGTTTGGCCGATGAGGAGACTAGAGAAGATTTGGATTTTGCCTCCGCCGCCGATGATGAGATGTATGTATGTTTAATGTTGCACAAACTCGAAGGTCTGCTGGCGAATACTAACGAGTTGGCGAAGGAGACGAGGCAGCGATGGGGGGCTTCAAGCGAACGTAAAGAAGACAGAGGTGATGAAGATACCCAACCAACAATATCAACACCTGCAAGCACCAATGACCACCAACGGGAGAAACCCAAGGGGGGTAGTCTCCTTCACCCATCTAGGCAGTATCGCTTCATCTACAGGCGCCGCAGGCACAGATGAGGATGTCAAACCCAGGATCGGAAAGACAGCAAGACGCCCTTATTAGTCTGAAACCAGTGCGGAGATCTACTGCACTCAGTGCAAAGCTTGAACAAGATCCGGCTTTTCAACACCAACGTCAAGTCAGTGCTTCTACATGGTTCAGAAACTTGGTGCATTACGAAAAGGATTTCCAACAAAATACAGACGTTCATCAACAGCTGCCTACTTTCGGTAGTGAAGGTCGGATGGCTAGGATAATAACAACAAGCGACAAAGAACCCTAACCTAGCAACGAACCTGCCAAGAACCCGTCGCTCAAAAGTGAAGTCTATACGAGACTCAGGGCCCCGATATTCTCACAACCTAACCTTCTTTGAGCACGTATGCACGGAGGTGTCGAATTCACGCAAACTGGCGGGTTTCTTTTTATGGTACAGAATTTGGAGTTATCCTGCTTAAAACATGCGTCCTGCCACTGCCCGAATATTGTTCATTTATCTGCAGCAGTATACGGGTTATGGATAGACTAAAAGTCAAAGGGGTGCAGTCATACTTCACGATGAGAATACTCAACACGAATAGGGACGTAAAACATGCCACCAATTGCAACATCGTAGGGCTTGAACCGCTATGGAAACGAAGGCTCGGACTGAACCTGACACCGTTTTATAAGATCCCTAACGGGTTAACATAAAGCACATGCACGGACATGTGGTTGTTTTTCTCAACCAAAACTCCGGATGGTTACAGCATGAAGATATCACTAAATCATGAAGAAACTGGACTACGATGAAAGCTCACTGAATTATCTGGAATTCTGGACGCTAAATGAACCAAGGATTTAACTCGAATCCTCGAAGACCCGCATCATCAAGATAACCTTCAATGATGACAGCAGGGTGCAAATGAGGAATGTACGTTGCTCGCTATCAACATTCCATCGTCTTGCGAGGCGATGAAACCGTGCCGCCACGAAAATTACTGTCCAATAAATAAGAACCACCAATCCCATTCACTCATTTGACTCTCTCGCCATGTGAATATTTCTCAATCCCCGAACTGCTCAAATCTCTGGATGGTCAGAATGGCGACGAAAATCCGAACAGACAGTAAAATCTGGGAGACCAACTTACCTATTAGCTTTAAAGTGAATGTATTCACAACAGTGCCATGCAACAGGCTTCTCTAGTACCTTCCGGGGAATGCGTGTTACAATTCCTTAACGTTTGACTAACCTTACTTAACTTGATGTGCTCTAGTACCTGCTTAACCAGTACCCTGCCTGGTGTGTAAGTACTGATAACAAAACACAAATCAAAAGGACTGGTTCGGGAACATGTTTGAAGAAGTAATGTATTTAATTAGAGTAAATGTAATGGTAATGAATAGTGGAAAAGTTGGTTCAACTTATCTGGCTGGTACGACTGAGCTAGCGACTCTGAGTACGTGCATGCTAACCAGCACTAAGAAGGTGCAAAGTGGCCTCCAAGCCTGCTCGTTAAAACAAAACTTAAATACCTAAAGCATCTGGAGGCGAGCCGGAGCCTTATTTAGTTAATTTGATTTAATCTATTTATTTTAACCCTAGTTGTATTTTGGTGCCAGGAGGGTGAGCTGCAACTTCATGAAACGGTGAATATACGTCATTGATAACGCTGCAAACCTTAACGTGAAAAGTATCGAAAATGCATTGCCATTGGTCTGCAGCTCTCTAAATGTTTATTCCTTTCCACCACAAATCTAATTCCGATGGCGCAAATCTATGTTGCTGTGAACAGTAACACTTGAATAGATATTAACTGGGATTAAATGATGAAGTGGAGACTTACAGATCCCCCCAAATCATCAGTGTGGGTTCGTTTGGTCTCCGAAGCTATAAGCACAAGAATTCATAATAAAATAGACGTCTGTCTAGCGCAACGGGGCACTGCGAAGACAAATCAAACACAAGGACTGCTTGTAATGGAAATTTACGCGACCCTAGTGCACCACTGGTGACAAAAGAAAGTATAGCCGAAAAAGATCCAAACTTTAACACCCTGCATACTCTGAAAAGTGGTACTTTCTTGTTCGTCTCGTAACTTGTGGACTGTTTTGATGTTTTTAACGGAATTTAATGACCTCCCTTCCGTTCCACTAAGGTCCCGTAGAAAGCCCGTAAACTGGCTTTTCTCATGTTAAGTTGCCAGTATGAGAACAAAATTTTTATTACTCATTTATTTGTATAGATTGGATTGGATATACACTCAGGAGACCATTCGGGGATATCATGTTCCAGGTTGTCGAGGGGAACCCAAAGGAAAAATGACGAGTTAAGCCTCTAAAGGTGATATGGAGGAGATCATGTGAGAAAGAAATGAAGGCCTCTGGGTAGTTGTAGAGTCAGTTTGAGGAGACTGTAGAGAAGAGAGTGAAATGGTGACGAGCTACTGAGGCCCTATGTTCCACTAGAGGCCCAGGGGACAAATAATAACAATAATGTATCAACTAAAAGTCCGAAAGTTAATCGAGAAATCATTAGCCTCCTGTAGGGGCAGAGTGTATTCTTGTAGCAGTCGGTGCAGGGTTTTAAGTCACAGTGAAATAAAACGCTGGAATTCTTACCCACCAATAATGCTTCTAGTTGCGTGCTAATGAAACTATTTAGACGAAGTGCATCCGGTCTTAGATCTACCACCTCGTATTTACCGGGGTTAAGTTTGAGCCTAGTATTATTTTCCCTGTTTGACAGACGGGCCAAATATTCTTGAGAAGAAGACCTATCTCTATGGCCTCTGATTTTCTTCCTTAGCGTCACGTCGGCGAAAACTCTTTTGCGAAACCACCATATTAATACTATTCATAGTCATCCACATATCTTTTAAGTTGCTTTGCAAAGACTGGGAAACACAAGACATTCAGATTAAGCAAAAATAATCCTTCTGGAAAGATACCTTATGCAGCTGAACGCGCTTGGCAGTTTAGGGGGGGGGGTGACTTTAAACTGCAAACTTGACAATGACTGTAATGGCGAAACAGATTTCCTTGCCTCATGAAAAACCCCATTCACAGGTAGAACAGAGGGACCTGATTTGTTATCTTAGTGGTTTCTAGGATGGCCCTTGGATTCGTTCTATTTTAGTAGCCTTGTGATTGAAAACTGCGCGTAAATGTTGTAACGAAATTTTTGGATAAGATAAATTGAGAACAGTATTAGAATTCTGTTTTTCGAAAAAATCATAACGAATTGCAAGTTAAATGCGTATATATTCTGGAGAGATGCGTGCTAGTTGAAAGATGCTTTATTTACATAACCTTTGACCAAGTCAAGGTGTTGCTGTATGGCGGTCCCTGTTGGCCATAGTCCAAAACGTAAAATGCTTGATGCGGATTCTTTGTTCGAGAGGCTGGTAGGCAAATCTTCTTTACTTTCTGATGCACATTTTAATCAGCTTCGTGAGGCTGCCAATTTAGTCCCGAAAATGAGTACTCCAAAGCTAACATATGCCCTTAAAGTGACATCTTCACTTCAACAGAAAATAACTGATACGGTTGCATCAAGGTAATTAAAACGTTATTGGTTATTTTTACAAAGGTTACCGCAAGAAAAATCCTCAGAACAAGTGGGAGATACAGATCGCCAACAAATCCATCTTGAAAATGTGTTATCTCAAGGTATGCATCAAGAGACTACACTTATTACGTCTGATTCTGACCAGGTTAGTGAAACGAAGTATTTTTGTTTTCATGTTTGCACGTTTTCGATTGGTGCATTTACATGCCTGATATTGCAAGCATTCTAACGCATCAAATTTATAATGACTATTTGGTTTATAACAGGGTAACTTGGTGTGGTGTGGATGTTAGCAGTATGGATTTGAACACTAGCTTACTAAAATTTACCTGGTGATATTGATAGTTTGATGTTACATATCGAAGTATTTTATAAAGTCTTAGTACAAAATGATTTTGTCGTGACTAGACATCCTGTCTTTTTGAGTTGTGATTGGTTTTCTTATTCTTTCGGTTCAAAGTGAAGAGAGCTAAATGCGATATAGTAAGGAGTCTTTATTTCGTCTTTGCATATGACCTTTGGTGTTTTCGCTTTACGACCAGCTATATTTTTCACAAGTGGTGTATCTGCTAGTAAGACTTGTGATAGGTCATATAAACTGGGTCTCAAGAAGTATAAGTGGATTTAGTAATATCTTTGCTGAATATAATGCTTTTTGTTATCATGGTTCACTAATGACTGTTATTCAAGGCAATGCAGTTTTTTTTGATATTTGTTCCCTTTTATATGTTGTCACTTTACATTTTGGTCGGCCACTTGTTGCCGTATATGGCCACTCAAATCGACGCTGTCTTGTGCGAGGTTGCATATCATTCTGAACAAGTAAAACAATTGTCATTTTTGAGTAACTGGGAGCACGCTAACTGCAACTGATCTTCTGACTTATTAAAAGTAAACAAAGTTGGTGAACTGATTTATTGTACTCCACTCTGCCACTGCGGAATGTCTTGACTGTTTACCGTGGACGAAAGCAGTTGTAGGATGGTGGTCTGGTAGATTTCACCGGCATTTTTAACCTTAACTGTGTGATTATTCCTGACGCAATGTTCTAAAAGAAACTGCCGACCGGTAGTCGATTGGTTGTAACAATGGATGGGGTAAATTTCCTTCTGAACTAACAAATATGACCACCTCAGCAGGAAGTAGTGTATGCTAAAACGTAGGATACTATACTTAATGCTGAGATCATGGGCTTTTGCACCACTAAAAAATGTCACTGTGGTACCTAAAGTATGTTTGCAACTTACTCGAAAATCATAGTTTCTGATGGGGTTTCACTCCAAAGCCATTCATTTTATGATGAATGCCATTCCTGCATCTTACCGCCGAGAGGTGTTACATCTCCTAGTTCAGCTCTCATGAAACTCCAAACTAGTCAGATTGCATGTAGGTGTTCTGGGTACGTAGGTCGACGTTGGGTGATGCAGCGTTTATGTGTCGTATTAAGACTCATATCCTCTCCTTGATACTTATGTGTTCTAACTGATACGTACTCAAAACGAAATGCACTCGTCAACCAAATGCATTTTCGTACAGTGGGCAATAAGTTACACCTATTATGAGAAGACTAATGACCTGGCTGCCGAAACCTTAATAAATGTGTTTTCTAATCACTGAACCAATGAGTCAGCCTCACATTGAGCTTGTTTGATTTTAAGTAGCCAGATGTAGTTTCACACCGCTAAACTCTGCGATTATATGAAAGAATGAAGTTTATGGCCATGTTACCTATTCATTTCCTGATATTTGTCAAGTTGTTTTGGTGAGGCCAGCGCACCTGTTGACAACTGATTTGGTTATGCTTGTAATTTCAAGAGATAAATCTCCTGAGGTCCGCCAAACTTATTACATGTGTATTACCCACCTCCTATAGTTATATCTGGAATTGAATGACACCGGTCGCGAAACATTGTGTTATTTAAGCAAAGATTATCAGATACCCCAATAGTATCCCCATGATCATAGTGATCTCATGTCTAGTAAAAACCTGAACATTCTGTTGAAAAAGCTGTATGACACCCAGCGAAACGTTCAGAAAAGTCTTGTTTTGATTTTCTAAACACCGGAAGTATATTGATTTACTTTTGCTTCACTTTTTGTAAACTTGGACCTATTTATCACGGGTTCATACTGTTTGAAGAAGCATTCCATTATATCGAATTTTGAACGCAATCAACAAGAAGTGCTGAACGGTGTTATTCTTACTTGCTAGTCACATAGACAGACAAAATCAGTCTATTAGTAACCATAAATAGGATACTTTTGTAGCCTTCAACGAATGCTTTGTTTACCGTTGAAATTCTTTCAGAGACTTAAGGGGTGAGTTACTACAGTGGCTTCTCAAGCTATGCAGTGCGCTTGCAAAGTCGATTCACAAAACCAAATGGAATTTTGATTATGAAGTGATCCCATACAAGTTATTTCCTTGTCAGGAATGTGGACTTATGTGTTGTGGGCTGTCACTTGTATTTGCCGATATAAATTCTAGCTTGCATTGGTCAAAATTGTTATTTTGAGAAAAATGTGAACGTTTTCGTGCTAAGCCTGTAAATGGTAACATCTTTAAATCTATCGCCACTATTCACTAGGACTGCTCGCATTAGATATCTACACACTACTTATTACAAATACGAACTAATTGAAAGAACTGTAAAAGCTGGTTGGTCACAACAGCTGCCGTCAAACTCAACCATCATGTGCGTGCTCCAGATGATGAGGTAATAGTACTACCTAGCTGCGTCAACCTCTCTAAATTAAAGTGTCCAAGCTCCTCTCGCTGGTTGAAAACCGGTAACTCTCCATTCTGCGATGAAGCATGATTTTATTGAGTTAGCATCTTTCATCGCATTACGACTGCAGTTAAGTCCGAAGGATCATGTGATGTGACTTATCAGAAATTACTCATGAATTTAAGTCATCGGCAACTCACTTGCAGTTTACCTTCGACTTATGCATAAGCACTACGATGAACCTTAGATACTGTGACAAATGCCTGACAGAACTATAGTTTTGTCTTCTTTAAGCGACCAGAGAATGACTTCGAACGTATCAATAAACGACAGTCGTTGCTTTCTACTTTTGAATATAAAAAATGAAAGAAAATTTACGGTAGATATTTCAACGATGTTTAGGGATTTATTTATGTTTCGGCTGTTTTTTGTGCTGAAAGTAAAAGTACATACGATAAAGATATTCATCCATGTGGTTACATGGAAATGAACCACACTGAACTATGATATGGATAAAGGTCGGTCTCCAAGTGGTTCCTTATAACCTCTAAATGATTTCTTTGAATTCCTGTGAAGGATTTAGAAGGTATGTACATTACATTGGATATTACTTTGATTTCAAAGCACAAAATCTGCTTTTTTTGAATAACCTAATTGGTACTGCAGAGCTACGTGGAATTATATGGTAGGGCTTAGGGAGTTGAAATAAAGGTTGCGATTAGGTTTTGGGGTTTGCAGCCTAATCCCATCCGATAGCTGCTACCTTGACATGGTGGTCGGACTTGCATATCACAATGACCCAAAGACCTATACTGGTGGAACGCTTGTTCCCTTGAGGTCTTACTATACCAGGAAGGTCTGTTGGATATTGGTATTTCGTAAAGAAGTCACCGTCGCATTGTAAATTACTACACTAAGGTGGGGGGTTTAAGGGCAAAGTTGTACTGTTGCTAAGCTGAAAGGGGTGTGAAAGCAGCAATGTATTTCCCAGGAATGACCAGCAGTGCCACCCTGCCTCGTCCATGGAAGAGGGGTTAGAAAAGATTGGGTCCTAAAATAATACACTCCACCATCCCCGACGGTCCTCTGGTGCTGGGGGTACGGGTTCTCTCTATCCGGCGTTAGGACAACCTAACCTTGACCTCACCTCTGTCTCCTCCTCTGCATTCATCTCCTGGTACTAATATTAATCCTCTAATGCCTTACTCAACCGCTCATCCTGCAACCATTACCTACGTATCATTGAGTTGTAGGGCAGAAAGTGCGCTTCTCGACTGGATTCCAGTAAACAGCCATCTATTTACTGTTCGACTGAATGGATCTGTGAAGACTAGGAAGGATTGTGAAACCAACCGATGTTCATTTGTAATCTCCGCCTCCCCACCCACCGACTACAGTTTAGATGATGCCAAGGATGAATTCTATGAAAAGCTGTCTATTTTGCTACAAAAGCAAAAAGTCCAGATGTAGTCATGATGGCAGGTGATTTTAGCGCTCAAGTAGGGAAGCTGAGTGCATCAGTAAGGCATTTTGGTGATATTTACAGAATCTCATCCCAACTAACAGACAACGGTGATGGTCTGTTACAATTTTGTTCTAATAATCCTTTGGTTCTGGTCAGTACTAACTTTAGGCTTAAGGAGAGATACCGTCGTATCCCGGCCTCTGACATCAAACCACCGATGGACGTGGATAGGTCGCATAGATATAAGTGATCATTAGAGAGGGTCGGTGGAAGACTACTGTTCTTCCTGGAGTACTACTTTGGACTCCGATCACGCGTTAATATGACCTCGTATATGTCTGTGCCTTACTGGTCGCAGGAAACAGTAAAGCCTCTCTATCATCTTTTGGAAGACGAAAACGTCGAGTATGCATTTAACAAAGAGATAGTTAAGCATTTATCTGGATGTAACAGCAATGCCCATGCTGCGGAATCCTATCTGATACTACGTCTGCTGTGGAAACAGCGGTAAGGACAGTGACTTACACCTGAAGGTTAGCAAGCGTCATTGGATTTTCAAGACGTCATCCGAACTGACTGATGCGAGAAAGCTGTTTGGAGCCTGAGACGACGCAAAACAGCAGGACCTGACGGTTTGCCAACTGACGTTTTCATGGATGGAGGTGGAAAGTTACTGATTAGGTTGACAGGGGTATTGCGTAGTGTATAGAAATCAGAGGTAGCGCCACCAGACTGGTCTACTTCGGTGATCATCCCAGTCTTTAAGAAGGGAGAGGGAAATCTTGTGATAACCATAGGGTAATTAGTTTGATTAATATTGCCTCCAAAATCCTGGAGTCAACAGCTATCCGATGCCTAAATGGTGCTCGAGAACAGAAAACTCGAGAAAATCAGGCATGTTTCAGACCTGAACGAGGGTGCATCGATTATATTTTTACCCGCTGACACTTTCCATATTTCTCGACGTGATGGCGGCATTTGACCCTATCGACTGTGTAGTGTTATGGCAGTGTCTAACTGTGAAGGGAGTACCTAGAATATACATAGCGCTAATCACAGCTGTCTATTAGAACTCACACAGTTGTGCAAAGACCTACAAAGAGCTGTTATGTGAGTTGACGACAAGTAGCGGTGTTAACTAGGGATATCGACTTTGACCGTTCCTATTCAACGTACTAATGGACATAATTCCAGGTGCGTTTGACTTCACAGAGACTGACGTACTCTCTGGAGGTCATCGGGTTGACTTGGAGTGTGCAGACGATATTGTCTTGCTAGCTGAAGACGCTGATAAGATGCAACGCTTTCTAAAGGCGTTGAGCATATGTTTTGCACTTGTCAAATATAAGATTAGGCTCCAGGACTAGTCTGCTGCAAATATTCCCAGCTTAATTGATAGGAAGTAAAGTGGTGGAACATTTCAACCATTTCATTGGCATTCGCCAACTTGCGTCATCTGTGGTGGCAACTGGTGAGATATCCGACTATCTATCAAAGTACGAGTATACTTCGCTGCAGTCCGTTCTATCCTGTTATACGGCTGAGACATTGACATTGAAAGTAGAAAACATGAAGCGGTTACAGGGTTTTGATCACTGATGTCTTCGCAGCGTTGTTCTCATTTGGTGGAATCACTGTATGAGAAATGTTGAGGTCAGGTGAAGGGTACCAGGTAAGACAGGCAAGTTGATTAATGACGTGAACCTTAGTCGACTGAGATGGCTTAGACATGCCTGCGCATGCCGAGTCACCATCTACCTTGGTGTCCAGTACTAGGGGAAGTTGAACTGGGTTGGAAGAAGGTTCAGCGTGGCGAGACCAAAACGTGTCACCAGTCGATGAAGTCCCTAACTGTTAGTCTGAGCAGTGTGGGAAGGTGTAGCCTGTCTGGTTAGGGTCTCCGAGACGATAGAAATCAGTGGTTGAGATCTCTTACTGGCATGGCTAAAAATCGGTCACAGTGGCGCAGATATATTGACACCTTGAGATTTTCTAAAGCTTGAATATTCACATTAACCTTTATCTTCCGATTGTTTATTCTCTCGCACTACTTTACCTGCTTTGGTGTCACTCTTTCTATGTACCTGTTCTTTGTGTACTACTGTGAAGTGAGGCAACTTGGGTCGATGCACCTGTGTGCGAGGTTTTACGTTGATTTCATCAATCAGTGCAATCTAATCGTAAAGTGTACTGCCAAGTGAACTATAATTTTATGTCTATAATTTTATGCTGAACAGGAATTCCAGCGTCATGAAAAGTAGTTCGAGACAGTAACATTTATAATCAAAATTGCATATAAGCCTATAACCAGCGATGTCCTTTCACTAACTCAAAGCTTCCCAGAATCACCGCACAGTCACCTTCAACATGATTGGCCACTTAATAATAGTAATCGCTTTATTCCAAACAACATACGTGATACAGTAAGGAATTCTCAGCACGTAATATTTCAACAGTTTCGCTGCCTGCACAATATGTTTGCAAGAAATAATTATTGCATCTGAGTAGTGTAAATAGTAACAAAAGTAAACCGACTAATGTGGAACGGTAAGCTGGTGTCACATCAGTATCTGGTCTGGACACAAAATCGAGTATAATTTTGATGGTGGCAGTTCAATCAGCCAGTACAAAAATCTGAAATTCCATATAAGCATCCTGGGTATAATGTGCTGTATTTTTGAGCATCGATAAGTCCATTTCCATTCAGCATAACCTTTTTTCTTTGTTTTGTTTTTAGCTTGCGAAACGACAGTTTGAAAACATCTTAAAATGTGCGAGAGTATGCGATGTGTTTAGAAGGTGTATTTAAAAGATTAAAACAAACTTAACGGGAAGACTTTGACGAAATATATTCAGTAGACAATTTTTGGTAGCCCAAGGTTTAAGCAGGCTTTCGTGAGTCTTTCGGTAGTCTCTCAAAAAAGATGGTGAGGCTGTATGGTTCTACCAAGCGGTCATACATACGAGTAGAGCTATGATTCAGATTGAATTGCTGATTCGTTATCGGTTTCCACCTGAAATAGCTTCAGTGACTCAGTGGGGTTTTTGATATTCAGTGGAACGCAGTAACTATGTAAGTCCCCGGGCTGGGCTATGATCTGCGTCTATCATGTAGTAGCTGGTTATACTCCTCTGCTGTCCAAACCTTGGCAGACGTTGCGGGATTTGGGCTCGATTGTCTAGAACTAGCTTAACCCAGTACATGGACCTTCGCGTCGTCAATGATTTCTTATTATTCTACTAATTCCCTTTCAGATACATAGTTCTCACAAAACTTAGACAATCCAACGTCCACCCGGTACCACTGACTCAAGGTATAATTGGTGTACTGCTTACAATATATGTAGTTTGATAAAACCTATTAGCACAGACCTTTATGATGTGAGAAGTCGGTTTGATTTAGGGCAGATATTTTTTCAGGTATTCATAAAAAATAAAGGCTGGTGGGTGAGAAAAAAATGTAGAGCTTGATATTGACACATCTACTTAAATTACAGCATTCCGTAAATAGGAGAGGGAGAAAAAGTAAAGTATTTTTAATCACAAGATATGTTTGGTCAAGAAATGCAAATGGGATAAATATAGATCAGAAATAAGTTGATAAAATGAAAAATTCCTCTTTCAGCTGGATATAGTAGGGTTTCTGTGCAACCCATCACTTCCTTAGGGATCTAGTAAGGAGGCCTACAGTTGCTCATTTTTCACAGATCAGCTATCAAAAGCCTCATAAATTGGTACCATGTCATGGTTTGACTGTCAAAAGACCGTAACTGTCCTAATACGTACAGGATAGTAGTTTTAAGATGCATTAAAATTAGATAATTTATTTGACGGTGTTGCATTTTCTGAGTTGGATGGGGCTCTTTATTGTTTTCATTTATAAAAGCTAAATCCTGCCTGCCTACTTCAGCCTTGAGCCACTGAGTACTAACATTAACTTTTACACATTAAGTATGGCTCGTGGTCAAGTACATAAACTTGTATCGGGTTGAATTGTATTAGTTATCAGACAAGGTTAATATATATGTCACCTCAGTTGGTGTAGGTTCACAGCACATCTTCGCCTAGCACCAGAACTGTTCACTTGATGAAGCCACCGTTGGTTCGAAAACACTATCAACGAAACACCTTTGACGTTCTGTGTCATGTACCTCTAGACGGAGCTGTGGCTCAGTCGTTTAAGCTATCGGCTCAGCCAGTGGATCACAGGATCAAACCCTGCTTTATTTACTACGGTTATTCCAGCTAGGTAGCATCTTTGACCTTAACAAGAAGTGTAACTGATTGCCTAATGCACAAATCTTCATATGGTTGTTGAAGCGAATAAATCAACTTCAATAAGGTCACTCAAGATTTTTCTTATCAAAGCGAATTTCAACGCTTCATGCTGGGGCTGTAGTATAAATCTTCATATTATTTGTGCCATTACCCTTTTTATATCTATGAGGAGTTCTTACATACTAGGAATGACGCAGCCATTATAGTAATTAAGGTGCTTGGCCATTTTGTTGCCTAAATTTAAACTAGGCATCAAAACCGAATACTTATAGCAAGTGCGAAGCGCTCACTAGACGTAATTTCATTTAAGGGTTACCTTAATCTTTTGTTGGCAACACTCGCTAAGGCAATCAGAGGAGATGGACTCCTGAAAAATCTGAAAAATCAAAATAAGAAGTGCTTTTTACCAGCACATAGGTTGCAGTTCATACTGTGTATAGCAACGCAACGCAATCAGCCATCTTGTGCACATCCCTGCAGTAGGCAATGAGCCACACCTGATGTATGAGGTCTAGTGATACTACCTAGCTGTACAAATCTCAGTAGGTTGGACGGGGCTCGAATCCGTTACCCAATAATTGGTTTTCATCTCCTTAGACCACTGAGCCACGGCTGTGTATGGACCTCCTTGTAGTTGCTGAGTCGTGTTGAACGAGATCCAAAGTATAAAAATCCTATGACTTCCTGTTTCTCTAATATAAGCATAAAACTTAGGTACTGTAATAGATTGTAATTTCACTTTAGTTTTTTTCTTAGACGTGTCGCAGTTCAGTAGTATTATTTACTAGATAACTTCATATCAGGTATGGTATGAATATGGACAATAAGTTATGTCCGAAACGTTATTCAGTAAATAATAACATTTCACTGTGTACCACATCTAAAAAACAAACTGAAATGGGATTTCTGTTTATCATTCCCCCTGTAACATCTCATATATCTTCTTATTTGTATTTAATTCTCGGAGCAGATGGCGTATTAATGTCTTTCGAAAACTGTTATATAATTATGGTTTGAGTATCAGTAACGTGGACACATTCTACATGTCATAGCAGTAGCTTATTGTTATACATGACAAATAGTCTATAATCATGGTTAATTTATTCCTGAAAATGTTTAATTAACATTGTTAGTGTACCTAAATGGCATTCGTTTCTTTTCTGTATCTAGATTCGTCGCACTGTTGTGAATCAACTGGATGGAAGCTATGGTGGCATTACTATTTTCCCACAACTTAATCACATAGGTTAGTTATATGAGGGTTTGTTCACTACAAGCTTTTGACTCCTTCATTGTCTTTTTTGAATAAATATTGTAAAGTAGTTGTGAAAATGGGAATGTTGAGCGTATGATGTTCATCTTATTTTAACATGCTTTTTGTACAAATGGTTAGTGGGAAATAAAACCTAGATGTATAACATACATTGCGAAATAACGAAGTATTTAAATTCACCTATTTTGTTATTTAGCGATATACATGTATGCTTGATAACTACTTACATGAGTCAATTTCACCCTACAACTGTGAAAGATGATTTGAATACTAGGTAGGTGTATCCCTCGTTTGAGAATGCACAAATTCACAGTGAGCTCAAACTGATTTACCCCCAAATTATTCCAACCGCTTGATTTTAGGCAGGTTTTTAACTAAAAATATTTAGAATCATTGGCGTCTGCGAAATTGCATTGATGTCAGGAAGCCGTTATTTAGGTTAGAACGTTACTCAGCAATAACAGTTCACATCTCATTGCGAATTGACAGGGTCCTTTATTGATGACTTGTACGATACAGTTGACGTGGAATCACACCATAATCTCGCTTATTTCTTATCTCAAACCGTGATTCTAGTATAACCTATAACAACCACAGGATAATCAGTTTGATTAACATCACATGTAAGATTCTAGAACCCATAGTTATTCGATGCCTAACTTGAACTTGTCAATAAGTCTCGAGAAAATGAGACAGGTTTCAAAATTTAACGGGTATGCTTCGATCAGATCGTCACCTGTCGAAAAATTCTGGAGCCGTGGTATACTTATACAGTTATTCTGAACACAACTAGTACCCTTTAAACTTGGTATCTTCAGAGTTCTCAACTTGCTATTCATTAGACGACAAACGAATATTACCATAACGGTGAATGTATTAGTGAAGTATTGCATGTTAGCTCTCTATTTTTAACTCGAAAATTATGTTTCACAGGTGTTTTTCCGAGCACTATATGACGCTGAACTTCAGTGTCATGGGTATTTGTTTTGCACCACAGGCTAAACTTTAAATACAGGTTTTCAAATAAACCCTTGTTAACGGTGAAGTCTACTCATTGTTTGCCTCTTCACTCACTTAGCAACTATGCAAAGTTTTCACAACAAATTAACATTGAACAGAATCGACATAAGCCATCCCACCTATTGAGGTTTAGGTAGCCAAGTCCTATGCTATAAGTATGACTTTTAGTGTAATACAACAATGCGTATGTTATTGGGTTGCCTTAACATTGATAGTTGGTTGTGGTGTTTGGCTGTGAAGTTTACTTTTAGTAAGAATCAACCTAGCCGATGGGTATGTGGTCGCCTTAGAGTATGGTAATTAAATATTCCCCTTGGTCCAAGAAATCGGAAAGATGCAGGTTATTCTTAATGCTTTGAGCAAAATTTCAGTATGTTTGACAGGCGTTCCTCGCTTGTCAGATAATTCTTCAGGGCTGATCTGCATCAACTCCTAGTCTAAAGGTATGATGTGAAGTGGTGAAGTTGCATCGACGTTAATGGTTGCTGATAAAAACTTGGGTACGAGACACGTTGGTATTTGCTAATTTACATTCTGGCGCTTTTGAGATATGTAACTCTACAAATCAAGAGTGCAGCATGCTGGACAACATTCTGTTTCTTCCAGTTGTACGACTGTGAAACATGACTGTTGAAAGTAGAAGACAGTTGTTGGCTGCAAATTTTTGATGATGGATGTCTTCATACCATGTATCACGATTGGCGGAACTACCTTGTTAGCCACAGAGTACTAGCCAAGGAAGACAAGTGGGTTGACGAGACTGTGAACTTTCATCAGCTAAGGTATTTCGGCTGTTTGTTACGCATATCTGTTGAACAGAACATCTACTCTGATTCACTACTTTGACTGAAGTTGAAAAGAAACTAAGCAATCAAGTTATGAAATAAAACCGTTCTACTAAGTCTTTGACTGTTGGTTTGAACCATTTAGGTGATCGTCGAGACAAAAGGAATCAGTCATTGATGCTCTTTGTGATATGACTCAAAATTGACCACAATAGCGTAGATGCCTGCATACGGACAAGTGCAATATTTTTTTGCGTCCTCTTCATTTTGTGTTGCTCCAACCGGTGTAACGCGAACTAATGCATTTGTTTGCAGGGTTTTAAGTTGGTTTGATTACTTAACTGTAATGTTACCTCGTTCATCAATATAGTATTAATTGCTGAATGATGATCAATAACTGGGTGTTCAAAAATAGTCTTTCATCATCTGGGACCTTTTAGAATTAAAATTCATACCATACGATACCTTCGGATGCACTCTCACTATATATCCCCATTATTATAAGTGTTAAACTTTGGCACTGTAGTAGTAGAATGCAATCCCATATTAGATTTGCTTATTTGATACAGTATTATTTACTTACAATAGTTTTCCCACCCTGTTGTATTTGGTTGTGTGGTAATGCATGCGTTGCAATAACCGAGTTTTTTTCCAGATTATTGTTTTCATTCGGATCTATCATTCTACATATATCTAGATTCCTGTGTTCCGCTAATCTAGCTGACCCAATCGATTAGTTATCCTCTAGAGTTTTTATGAAGAAGTCCGTACGAGCATATAAGAAGCGAAATAATAACGGTAATACAAATGCGAATAATAGCAACAACACAAGTAGAAAGAGATTCAAAGCGTCTATAAGGAAGGAACAGCAAAAAACTTTATGTAGAGATTCTTAACAAGGCTGAAATTAAGGTGGCATTCAAACCTACAAACTCACCCAGAGATAAGCTTTGTTGGTTTAGGGATCCGATAGAACCAATTAAGCAAAATAATCTAATCTATCGAATTCCATGTAATGATTGCGAGGTACTTATGTCAAACTAGCCGGTCAGGGTCAATTAGGATATGAGAACAGGAGTTTAGGTAAATATAGAACGACAGATCCGAATAAGATCGATAATCTATAAAAAGGTTCGGCTGTTGCAATGCATGCATTAACATACAACAGGATGGAATAAAACCACTGTTCAAATAAACAAATGTAGTATGAAATTACATCCTATTACAGTGCCCACATTTTACGCTTATATTAAGTTTATTTTAACTACGAATTCCGTATTGCCTAATGCACTCTTAAATTGATTCGAATGTGTATTATCACTGTATTATATCAAATAAACATCTTACATGCTATCTGTCCTCATTTTCGTATTCTTTCGCGTAAGTAACTGACTGATAGGTATGCTCAAAACAATACTAAAGTAGTGTCAATGAGCATTAGGATAAATGGTTTATCGATAAATGTTTTGCACATATTTGTGTTGTCAATGGATGACTATTGCGGCTCTTTGTGTAGCGTTTTATGAGAACACCCATCGGTTCTTGGATGTTAATAACTTCCGTAGCTGTGTAGAATCTTAATTCTCGACCATCATTCCAATTTCTCTCAATATTCGATGAGATCTATATTCATGAGCTCTAATCTAAGATAGCTTTCGAGGAAATGTTTGATACTACTCTTTAGACTGTACCCCTTTTCTTGCCTTTGTATATGATCATGTCCTGATGTACATGTATTTTTGACATAGTTTGTAGAGACATGCTTTACCATCGTTGAAAGAGGAATTCCCACTCCGAGTGGTGAGACAGTGACTTATGTACTCAGTAGTTATTCTTTTTTCGCATCTCACAGATGATTGATATCTTTTTTGAAGCGCTTATGAAGTAAGCTTGTCGAAATAATTTTTCAGAAATGCGGAAATTTATTAGCATGATACATCCCAAAAATCCGCACGACACCAACCACAATAGTGCAAGTAAACCTGATGAACATAAAGGATATGGTTTTCGAACCCGTCGCTCTATTTCATTGTCATATAGGACTTTATTTAGGGGTACTGGTCATTTCAGAAGTCCTAATAAGCTAGTCAGGAACAGCGATTGAATCCAGTTAGTAAAGTAGTTGCTCGGTTTAAGCCACACCTTTCATTATAAGAGTTGAAGAAGCTAACTTTACGAGTGAGGTCAACGAAAGTTCTGTAGATTTAGAGCATGCAGTTAGAAGTTGGGCCCCTAAGTCAGTTAAGTAATCCAGGTGGCGGCTTGCTTGTGCCGAAACATCTGAATTGTGACTCCTAAGCTGTGATTTGCCGAAGACATCGTTTACCACCCCGTACTTCTCAGTTGTCAGAGCATCCTACATACACCAACATCTTGTGTTGACAACCCATTGGTGACTTAATTCGTCTCTGTCCTTATTCTAGACACAGTAAAAATGACAGGTAGAACTTTGTTCATCTTCGCTACAACTGAAAAGCCTAAAGCTTAAGCTCTATACTTGAAATAGACATCTTTTTTAAACACACCAATCTCCACTCGAGTGGTAGCAAAATAAAACGCGTGCCAAGTAGGTTATCGTTATTGATGTCTGTCTGCCTTTCATTTTCTGATTGGTTAATTTTTGGTTCATAGTCTGTCTATTATTGATTGTCTACTGCCTACATGTCCTTAGCGTAGGCCGTATAAGGTCAAGCAAACCAATCTGGTGTGACTAGATGTGATATAGAAAGTTGTATAGAATCATATAAATCGCAAATTTCCCACACAATTGGTTAAATCGGATGTATCACACCAACTATGTTCTCACTACTCTGAAACTGATATTCTCTTTCGCTTTGCATCAGGAATTTTCTGGTGACTGATATACATAAGGTGGCTTAAATCTCCTAATGGCTAGTGCCAGCTAAATTATCTCTTATAAGCTGTGATTCCAATATTGAAGTTGATATGTTAGAAGTAGGGCAGTTATCCTTTTCTTATGGCTTGTACATGGTGCCTAATGGGAAACTGAGAAAAGTGGTATTTGTGACACTTTCAGCATTAGACAGTGAATTTTCCATTCATCAAAAATAATCAGTTACTAATGCTTTAAAGTCTGGTTACTAAATTTTCTACTGAGTACGTACGTACCTCCGAAATAATTTTATTTCTGAAGTGAAAGCAGCTATG